GAAAGTAATGGTGCAGTATGCGGCAGCAAATATGTTTGTGAATTCAATTTTAAATGCTGTTCTATATTTTGTTCCATATTTCCTATTATCCGGTCCAGTTCGTTGATCGTGTACCACAAAAGCTAATTAATCTCTCTTTGGTAGTCGTAAATCGGCAAATCGTCTATCAGATCCATTGGAGCGATCGGAGAGCATCATTTAAATTCCATTCATTCATTATAAACGCGGTATGTGTTTTGTGTGCGATAAGCGCAGCAAATTATCGTATGTGTTTAGCGTGATCGTGATGCTCTGCTCTGTAATATATGGAAATTAGACTTTCCGAATTGAACCTGTATTTCATTGAAAATGATGTATGCACATGTTGATGCTGATAGAACAAACAAACGCGACGCGGCTGATCGATCGGGAAAATTCAGGTCGGCTGCCTTTCGAGAGGCGAAATTAACTGCGTTTTTCCCAATTATTACTATTAAAATACAGAAACTAGTGGTGTATGGCATCGTGCCTTAAGGCAAATTGCTGGAACATCCCGTACCGTAATGAAATATTCGAGAAATTTTAAACGTTTTCAAATATATTATTACAAATATTGTAACTTTCATTATTTTTGCTATCTTGTTATATCTCAGCTAATCAAATGTAAATCATAAATCAAATATCTCCAGAACATTAACAATCGTCATTTCATTTCGAATTCAATTTCAAAAAAATAGTTGCCTAATTTACACAAAATTGAAATAGTGCTCCCGTATAGTCACAGTCTAAACGCATTTGCAAATAATTCTGTGCGACATTTTTACTTATACTGTGCTTAGCTTGGCGGCATTTGCACATAAACAGTCTAAACGCACTTGGGTAAACTGTTCTCTCAACTTTTTGTTCGAGTCCTAGGCTCATATTCGCAAATTCGAATCCCGACAGAGTTATCTTTTAAATTTATTTTTACATCTATTTAGTTAAATACTATAATATCAATTATTAATTTGTTATATATACTGCACAAATATGTGAAATTTATAACAACACAATACAAACAACGATACGGATCTGACTAACATTTTCCTAGCTGTACTGCATGAACTGAAAAAACTGAACTGGAAATTTCAAGCTAGCAACGGTTGTCATGATAACCGTTGCCAATTGTAACTGTTGCCATTGTAACCGTTGCCAATTGTCGCCCTTGTAACCGTTGCCATTGTAACCGTTGCCATTGTAACCGTTGCCAATTGTAACCGTTGCCATTTGTAACCGTTGCAATTGTCGTTGTCATGATAACCGTTGCCAATTGTAACCGTTGCCATAGAACCGTTGCCATAGAACCGTTGCCATTGCAACCGTTGCCATTGCAACCGTTGCCATTGCAACCGTTGCCATTGCAACCGTTGCAATTGTAACCGCTGCCATTGTAACCGTCGCCATCATAAAATTTTCATGGCAACGGTTGTTATAAATTTCACATATTTGTGTAGAATTGCGTTGCTATTGTAACCGTTGCCATTGTAACCGTTGCCATTGCAACCGTTGCCAATTGTAACCGTTGTCATGATAACCGTTGCCAATTGTAACCGTTGTCATTGTAACCGCTGCCATTGTAACCATCGCCATCATAAAATTTTCATGGCAACGGTTGTTATAAATTTCACATATTTGTGTAGAATTGCGCTCTATCTAAAAGACAATATTAAGAGCTAAAACTTTCAAAGAGTTGTTTTTTATCAATTTAGAACCATTTGAGTCCTTGGGAGCAAGAAAATTCGAAAATGTCCATATTAAGGACCACCCTAATATACATACATTTGAATCCGCGAATAACGAAATTCTTCAGCTGCGAATGTAAGATTTGGGTCGCAATTATTTTGCCCGCGTATAAGAAACTTCTACTATTATTACTATTATTACTATTATTCTTGAAGATGATTATCTCCCAACGTCATGAAATAATTTTCAGTCCGTGTCAAGAAAACGCAGTTCTATGAATAATTAAAAACATATGTCGTGTGAAGAAATTTATTTCGGAATGATTGATGTAATATGAGCGATTATAAATATCTCTAGTTACCCTCATAGGTAAAGTAAGGAAGCCCTAAACAATAAAGCATCTGCGCCGTTTTTAAAAATAGAAACGATACAGAATTATTTCTACATATCGTGTTTTACTTTGACCTGGTGCATATAGTACGTGCTAAAACGGGACATTTACTATTTAAATTAATTATTCTAATCGATAAGAGATAAAAAATAGTGTCTTCTTCAAGATTTAAATTAACTGACATGCAAAACATGCGACAAGAAATTTTGAACATCATACTTCAAGATTCTTTTTTACTGTATTCAGTCATAAAAAATAGGCATAAACCATTAAAGTAATAATAACGAGTATTTTAACTGCAAAAGCCACAAAACAAAAATTAGGGAAAGCGGGAAAAGTGCATAAATGTGTATACAAATTATACAATAAATGATATAAAATATTTTTTAGGTTAATGTGGGAAATTATCATCAAACTTGTAACAAATGATAAACATTAATTGGTAATATCCTGACTAAAAGCAGATATAGATAAAATAAATTCTCTGATATATAATAAATAATTAGTCATTATTAACATTATATTATTTTAACACTAAAATATTGAATTCTTAAACAACATGATGAATTTATAAAAAACCCTTCCTCAACAATGACTTCATTAATATTTGGATTTTTGATAGTATTTTTCAACAATACTACTTTTCGATATTTTTTAAAAAATAATACTCTAGTATGGTGACCATATGTTCAGGATTTCCACCTGGTGTCCAGGGTTTTTCTAAAAACAATATTTGTCCCTTCATTAATTTAAAAGTGTGCACAGTTCTATGTTAATTAATTAAAACTCACAATCAGTATTAAATATTGGGTTTGTAGAAATTAAGCTTATTTAAATTTATTGTTGAGCAAGAGTTATTAATTACAAAATGCAATTTCCTCATACCTTTATCCTTCCCACGAGAGTCTTGTCCGATATAAACAAAAATCCAAGAAACCAAAAAAAATCAAACTCAATATAACAAATCACACACGCACACCGAAAACGAATATAATAAAGTAAAATCTATTAAACATAACTGAAAATATATGATCTATAATAAATAATAAACTAATTAGAGAATTAATGAAATCATGTCAGTTCAAAAACACGTTTTAGTTGATAGTCGAGGACGCCAAATTCAGGTCCGTCCACTTTGAACGTTTAGCGTCGACTGAAGGGAGCGAATCGCCGAAAGCACGCTCGAGGATAACAGACGACGCGGGCGGAGGCAGCGCCAGCGCGGAAATTGTAAACTGACCGGGAACGGAGGGGTATTCGAGGTGGTAGAAAGGTAGAAACATTGGGAAAAATGCGTAAGTTCAGGTAATAAGAGTTGGGAGAAGAAATTGATGAATTGCATCTGAATCAAATATTTAATAAATTTTGTTTGTAATACGGTTTGTAATTTTTTATAGGTATTTATGTGCATATGACAAAATATTACTTAAACATCTTAAAACATCTAGAGTAGATAATGTTCCACAAAGTTGAATTCATTAATATTAATTATAATAATAATACAACATTTTTTAGAAATTTATATGAATTTTACACTTATAAGTAAAGAGTGAGTTAATTTTACAGTTAAAATTTGTAACTAGTAAGGTGTATGGCATCGTGCCTTAAGGCAAATTGCTGGAACTTCCCGTACCGTAACAAAATGATCGAGGAATATTAAATATTTTCAAATAAATTTTTATAAATATTGTAACATTGTCTAATATTTATAAGAATTATATAAATTAAATTGCAAAGTTGAAATTATTTGTTTAAAGTATATTAGAATCATGATTAAAATTAAAATCTGAATTATTTTTGATATACCAAAAAAATATTTTTCTTGAAAAAAAAATTTTTTTTTGCCAGCAATTATTTTGTTGAAACAAGCAGAAAGTTCTCTCAAAAACTGCCATTTTTTGCACATTTAGCTCTGTATCTCCGAAATGGCTGGACCCGCCTTTGCTAAAAACTAATCACCTCTTCTCCCAATCATTACAAATTGAATATTTTTTAGATCATTTAAATTGAATACTCCGGTCTCTCAAAAACTCGATTTATATTTTCTGCAACTTTGCTCCGTATCTCCGTAACGGCTGGACCTGGCTTTGCCAAAAACTAATCAGCACATCTCCCTATCAATAGGAATCGAATGTTTTTTGAACCATTTAAATCGACGAGAAATTGTATCCATACATACACACACACATCCATTTTTTCTGAGGTATGCCAAAATGTTCAAAAACCTTCAAAACGTCGAGAAATTAAAAAATTTTCAATTTCGATTTTTGGACGATTACAATAACTTATCTTACGGAAAGTTAATAATACAATATTGTTTTAGAGATTTATATGAATATTATCCTTATAAGTAAAGAATGAGTTAATTTTACAGTTAAAATTTGTAAAAAAGAGAAAAAAAGACAAAAATCGCAAATTTGTTCATTAAGTACTGAAATTTGTAAAAACATGGCAATAAACATTCATTATTGTGGAAGCAAATGTATCAAAAAACAAATCATCAATCCAAAGAATTTAATAAATAAAGTCCAGATTTAAGACGTTAAAGTAATATTTTTCTAAAAAGCGCAAATATATCAAAAACAGTGGCTCAATCAAATTATCAATTTGCTTCAATGAGCTGATGGTTGTATGAAAAGAAAATATTGAAATGACTCTAAAATAATATTACTTGTACGTCTCACAATAATTTATCAACAAGGTTTTTGAAACAGTCAATAATGTAGTAGCAAAAATATCCGAATCAACTCACCATTCAATATATTTCAAGTAATGCTCTCAAGACTTTTTAAAACGCTTAATTAATATTTTATCATCAGCTCACAAGCATCTTTAAAAAACCCTATATACAAAGAAATATTGAATATTTTTATTGTAATGTGTAAAATGATTTATAAAATAAACTTACCTTTATCCACTTTAAAATATTTTACAACGTTCAAGTTCTGCTTCAATATTATTAAAAATCTTGAACACCAATTCCACTTAAACAGCCCCAGAAAATCTCGTTTGAATCAGATTCTGAAAAATGAATAAAACTAATTAGAATAAATAAATTACATATCATATCAAATTGTAAAAATATCATTTTCCTGGGTGGGAAATTATTTCCCAAAAGCTATCAGCAATAAATAAAAATAAACAACATGTAGATACTTAGGCACCGCCTTTAATATTTAATGGAACTTTTTTCGACATATCTTTGATTTATAATACGAGTGGACTTGCAAAGCTCGAAATGGGATTGTGAGTTATGTATCAAAGCTTCAATAACAGAAGATTAGAAAAATAATAATGATATTGTAATAAATATCCAGATTTACAGAAACATATAAATTGCATAAAGTATAAGTTCGAATATATTTTAATTTCAAATTTCTGATTAAATTTCGATAATAAATGTACTTTTCTTGTGTCTTTTTTTCTTTGCGTGTTAGATATGATTTTCTTTTGACCAAAAAACCCACTAACCCATTTGGAGCGAGTTAGAATAAATGACTTGTATCGATTTTTCTATAAGTGAACATAAAACGTTCTTTGCAAATATAGATCTATTGTCTATTACGATGTTTTATTCAGAGTTCAAATGTTCTATTAACATTTCGTTGCGGTTGTGGTTTTTGACGGAATCTAATATGCAATTCCATGCATGTCATTCTGTCAATCCATTTTCTTTATACCAAAAGATATCAATAGTTCGATTTTTTTCTACAAATAATACATTCCTTGTATGATGTAAAAATCGCTTTTGCATGTTTGTGTATGTTTTAATTTTGATTTTTTTGGACCGCCCGCATGAAGCTTTTTTTGCTATGGAAGATCACAGATATGTCACAACGGAATTGTATTTATATAAAGGGAGCAGAGTTTTATCTGCTTATTGTTGTATAAAATGTCAATTGATAGAGATTTTTTGTTTTGATTTTAAAATGTTTTAAACAATGATGATTGTTGATGATAAGTTTTTAGTTACAGGTGAATACAGCGGAGAGTTGCATCAAAAACAGTACGGAGCACAAACCTTTTTTTTTGAACTCCTATCAGCTGAATCTAGAACAAATATTAATTTTCAATTTACAGAACTATGCACGTACTAAAATTATCTGAACTGATTTACGTAAAAATATAGCGATTTATATTTTTTCATTTTATGTCTACGATATCTGATTTTTATCCATCTGTTACTTCTCCCATGATTAACAATTGAGCATACACCGAAAAGCTCGTCCACAAAGCAAAAAATCCAACTAAAACAATAATTACCATGATTGAGTGTTGACTACCGAGCTTTTACTACATGTACAAGAGCTTTTGGCATATAATTAGTCACTTATCATAGCCTGATGGGCGTCTGTTTATGAATAAATTATAAAAAAATTACAGAAAAAAGAAAAACTATAGATCGATTACTTTCAATAATTTATGGAGTCGCAGGTTTTAACACAGCAATCACGGTGTTTGCGTGAATGGCGAGCTTTTCAAAATTGTTCGAGCTTTTACCTACCCTATAGTGTGAATAATAAATTTGATGTGCGATGGGGCTAATCACTTTTATAGTTCATGACCATACCATATCACGAAAATGATACATTTGAACTAGGTAAAAGACCTATTTTACTTGAAAACTATGATAATTTTTATAGATTAAGGGGGTATTCTAGTGTAGAAAATCAAAAAAATAGTTTTTTTATTACATATTTTCTGAAATACGTACATCTAACGCTTCAAAGGAGGCTAGAACTGCTCGATTGGAAGAGAGAAATGCAGAAAATAGTTTTTTTGAAGTAGAAGAAGATCCAATGCATGAAGCAGGAATGGCAGATTGAATAAAAAAAGTATAAAACATCATTTGATGACTTTGACAGCAAAAAACTTCATGCAAAACTTTAAATGCGTTTTTCTCATTATCAGAACAGACTTTTTCAGTACTGAAGACACGATTTCTCAAGTTCTACTCGACCGATTCTCTTGAAATGTTCAGAAAGTTTTGTTTATAGACCTATCTGAAGCCCGAACTGTAGTATCATCCCCAAATACCAATTTTTACTATATTTAAAAAGTTCGAGAAACTCAAAAAAACAGTAAAAAAGGACACTTTTTTTCAAACAGTCGGCAAATTGTAAAAAAAATAATTTTTACTCATCGCTAGTTCGGGCGATTGCGACATCATTGTAGATTAATAAGATCTTTTATTTCTTTTATTTCAGATGGCTAGGAGGGCTAAAATCATGTCAAGGCTGAAGTGCCAATTTTTTGAGACCCCCCACTTTATCAGCTGCCAGTTTCTTCAATTTTCAACTTTTTTTTAATTTTTGTATTGTATTTTAATAATATTAATAAACAAGTGGTGAAAAAATGGGTAGTAAAAACATTCATTGCTTTCTTTTATGACACTTTAAAAATGACCTAAAATTCATCGCTCTACACTAGAATACCCCTTTAATTTATGTAAACAAGAACTAAGCTTTATATATTAAACTCACTTTAAAATGTAGTGTAAAAACTGCAAACTGCAATTCGATGCCATTTATATTACCATTTTTAACCCTTGCATTCAGAAATTAACTCATTACCTCAAGCAGACCGCATGTTAACCGCTCTGTCCGGATTCCGTTCGCGAATGTCGGGATTTAATTATATGTTTATGAAACGGTGAAATAATTATAAACATAGATGTTGAAATTAATTAAAAAAATGATAATTATAACGCTGAATGGCGCTCTGTGCTTGTGCTGTTTGACGGGCTTTATACGAGTTCGATGTTCGCACACGTGTTTTTGACAGCGCGACGAAAACTGGAGCTTCAGGCACGGAACGGGAAATAATCTAATGTAATGTTATATAATATAATGTTATATAATATAATGACACCAATTCATTTTCAAATACGGCAAAATTAATTATATAGGCTTGGTGAAAAATATAATAATTGTAGATTACCGGTTATTAATTACGAAGCGCACGATCTTAATCATTTATTATTCAATCACGTTTAATTATCAGGCGGACAGTGTAATTATCAATAAACTAACAAATTTTAACATGAATTATTTCACTGGCACTTGAACTAGCATTTCATTAGTTAAGAGTGATGCTATTTTAATTATTATTATTTTATTTTAATAAGTAATGAGATAAAAATACTTTATTTCAAGTAACAGCTTTTTTTTATATCAAATACAAATCTCAAATTGACAAAAAACTTGGGAATCAAACTCAATTTTGTAATTATTTTTGAAGAGAAAATATAGAATTTTTTAAATACGTTTATTTTTATATGAAAATAATGCAGTGAACCTTAGATATGAAATAAGAACAAATCTTTGTGTATAATATTTTTCACAGAATAATAATACCTTACATTTTTTATTATTGCCTTACCGAGAATTAATTATACATCAGGTAGTTTGATTAGCATACTATTACTTTTACACAATTATAAAATCATAATTGTATAAAAGTTATAATTTAATACTAAATATTTCTTAGCTGGTTGTATACCATTGAAAAAGCTCATTTACGGACAAACATTATCGTATAAAGAATATAGAATACAAAATAGCATTATTTTGAGACATTATATACCTGGAAAGTCCTAAAACTGGATGTGAGACGAGAAAAAACCCCTTCTTTCGACCCCAATCTTTGTATTAGTAAAAAATCTCAAGAAAATATTTGCACGTGTTAACAGATTTAGTACCAGTTTAGGGAAGTCGGATATGACAAATTCTGTGAGGCAACTCCACTCGGATTCACTCCGAGGGAGGAGTTGTATCGGAGTGATAACTCCGGAGTGAGTTACCCATCTCTCTAGTCTGAACGTTTTGCATTTTTAAAATTCGTATATTTTAACTATACTTAAAATTTTACTTGTCATTCTATTATAAATATGCAGGGTATCCCAGAACTCAACATCAAGCCGAAACGGGGTGATAGTATTAACCGTAACTGTATTAAAAAAGAATGGACTTTTTTGAAAAAAATGTACTAGAATCTGTTGGCAAGTTTTATCAAAAGTTTGCTTGAATCTTTTTATTATAAAAGTATCAAGTATTTTACCATTCAAATGAGCCAACTTTTGATGGAACTAGCCAACACACTTTAGTACATTTTTATAGAAGGGACCGATATTAAAAACTTTAAATTTATAGTTCAACAAAAAGTCTTAACTCATGAAAACTTGGAGCAATTATGTCATTATTTGTGACTGTTTTACTAGAAATGTTATTTACGATAACGGATTCAAAGTTCAAATGAACAAGATTAATAAATAATTAACCACAATAACCGAAAATGGTCACAATTTTACCATGGCTTTCAAAATTTGTTGTTATTTTTTTTTCAGGACAGTTGCTGTTAGGGGCCTCCATTAATCACATGAGGCTTTTAGGGGTAGGGGGGTTTGTCAAAAAATCGCGAAAAATCACGTGGGGGAGGAAGGAGTCTAAGTAAGATATCACGTGTATTTATTTCTTACCTAAATTTTCAAAATAAAAATCAAAAACTGAACGATTTTTTCGTAAACTCAAAAAATTTCACATAACTAAAAATGCACGTGATGTCTGGTGGGGAAGAGGGAGGTAAGTTTAAATATCACGATGCATCACCAATAGAGAGAAAGAGTCCAAAAATCCCTAAAAAATCTCTCACGTGATTAATGGACGCCCCCTTAATACTATTACCTTGACGTTGAGTTCTAGGAAACCCTGCACAAATAAAAAAATATTAATTAACTCCTACCGATAATTAATATTTCACCCCCAATTACACATCTGCCCTTGGTGTATATTAAGAGAAATGCGTATCGATTTGCTGTCCGCTGTACTTAATGAAAACTATTCGCGAATTTACACGCGGCAAAGCGACGGCGGCAACAGAAGGCGGACGCGGCAGGTGCGACTAGCGTGCGCCATGCCCATTGCTATTTCTTTTCTTTCGGTAAACTCTTTTAAATATACAACCCAATTACAACTGAATACGGGCAGAAAATAAAATATACTTGGAAAAAACTTTAATTTCGGAG